AAACTAATGATATCAAGAACAAAATATACCATGATAAAATAAAATAAAATAATATGAAATAAAACAAAACAAAATAAAATAAAATAAAGTAATACTACTACTACTTCTACTAAAAATAATAATACATATCAATTGAACGAAAATATTATTTTATATTATATTATTTTATCTTGGCATACTTTGTTCTTTATATCATTAATTTTAGTTTAGTAATATTATTATGAATTACTTTTTTGAATTTTGGAAAAAATGAGTTGCCTCCCTTGATTTTCCAACGCCCCTTTTTTTGTGTACTGACTTTTACAAAACTAGCGTCTCTCTAATTTAGATTTTATATTTCTTATTTCCAACCTTATTTTCAATCTTAAATGTTAATCTGAGCTTAAATTCAAAATTAAACTACAATTCATATAACTATTTGAAATCCAATAATATTCCACCTCAACAATAGTATAGCTCGCGTGAACCCCAAAACTTACAAAGAAATCGGTGTCAACTCAAAATATAAATAGAAATAAATATAATACCGTCACTACTTGAAAATTGCTTCGGCATGAAACTCAGAGTTGTGCAATTAATGTAAGATATTATGTATATTACTTAATCTATATATTAAATAGCATTGTTATTTAACATTAACTGATTTTCTTTCACTGTAGAGTATTTATATGCATTTCTATATGATCGCTCGCTCTTATACCTGCCTTTATTTACCCATTCAGGTTATATATATATATATATATATATATATATATATATATGTGTGTGTGTGTGTGTGTGTGTGTGTGTGTGTATATGTTTGTATAGTGATTTTCTAAGCCCAGCTTAGATGTGGCACAAGGCCGAAAATTTGGGGCACCCAGTGAGGATCGAACTCAGTCGTAATTGATCTAGCAAGACAAGCTTTCTAACCATTACACCACGTCGAGGTTCCCAATATATATGTTTGTATATGTGTGTATATATATGTTTGTATATATATATATTATATATATATATTATATATATATATATATATATATATATATATATATATATATATATATATAGAGAGAGAGAGAGAGAGAGAGAGTGTGTGTGTGTGTGTATTTAGGCAGCATTTCTTCATTCAAGCATGTTTGGTTGAATAACATATTATGTCTATTTATATTTTATTTTAATCCTCTCAAATTCACGGATCAGTTTCCTAATTCTGTTATTAAACTCATTAAGGAAGACGCCGTAGTTTGTTTTGTTTTTTGTTCGTTTGTTTGTTTGTTTGTTTGTTTTTTATTATTTCTTTTATTTTCCCAAGTACTTTCAGTCTCATTCAAGATCATCTTCAGACGTGAATTGCTAATACAAAAAATTAATGTAATTGATAGTAATGTACTCTATTATAATTATGGATACGTATGAACGCGCCTTTTAAAATAAATTAAACCCGGACCGCTCCGATACGACGTTAGCGTCATACTACTTTGCCAACGTGCGACGTTGGCCAGGAGGAAACCCGGTTACTAGACAGATTACTTTTGAGAAAGTGTTGGCTGAAAAGGACACTTTTAGTAAAAGAAAAAAAATCAAAAATGCGCATGTTTCATTAAATAATATAGACAAATTTTTGTATATTTATTTTATGCAAGTTCCTTTCATATTGTCTGATAAGCTTAATAACATTATCATTGAAAGACGAAAGGTAATCACCATATTGATACATGTTTTTTAATCCTATCTAAGCTTTCGGCTTACATAAGCCATCATCAAAGATGAGAATTACATTACAATATATTAAACAATACACGGACAAAATCAGATACTCTGTTTGTGTTTGCATGGAAGATTTCCAAGCAACGACAAACTCGTGCATACGAGACGCTGGAAGCGAAAATCGCACCGAGGCTCATGACATCACACATGACCATGCGAGTGTGAAAACGAGAAATTTTAACTATGGGAAGCCGTTGGTGTAAACCAATGGCTTCTGTTATCAGTTATAGGCACTTAGGTATATTCGTGGAGTTTTCACAATTTATTTTGTTCAGGTTAGGTTTTAACTGTTTTATGTATATAGCTTCAAGAATTTTTAGTTTTTGTTTATTGTTTTCATGTTTAAGTATAGTTGTGTTTTCAACAAAGATTTTCCGGAATTGTGTATGCGACCAGGCATGTTGTTTTAAATGCCTAAAAATGTTTAAAAAAGAGTTTTCATTCAAATGTAGAGTCAAGCGTTGTGAAAGCGAGTTTGTGGTGTGACCAACATGAATATTATTTAATCCGTTAGAGATACAATCTCCCAGACGACACTTAAATTTGTAAACTATGTTGGTTTTTTGCAAATCGCTGACGGGTTGGGGGAAAGAATCATTGCGAAGAATTGAGTTGGATATACTAGATTTAGTGTAGTTGGATATACTAGATTTAGTGATTAACTTAATTTTTTTTTGCTAGGATCTGTTGTAGATATATTAGCATTTACCAAGTATATTTTCATCTTGTTTATAATTAGTATGCATTTGATTACGATATAGGAGATTAATATGTTTGGGATTAGTTGAAGCAGTATTATGTTTTATTTGCTTAGTATTGAGACTTTCTAAGAAAGCATCTTATTTGTTCATCAACTATACAGTTTGAAAAGCTATTATTAATAAGTGTTTTATATTCTTTAGTTCACTGTAAAAAAAAACTGTTTTATGGATGAATCAATTTCTGCACGATGTATTAGTTTTTTATAATAGCTATTTTGTAATAATATGGACATTCTCTGTTGTACTTAAGTGTACGCGAAGTTATGCTATTTTTTTTATATGGCGAAATAGTAAATTTGTTATTATTTGTGTTTATCAATATGTCAAGGAAGGGAATTTTATTATTAGTATTGAGTTTATACGTGAATTTAAGGACAGAATTATATTGGAAACGTTTTTCAAGTTGAAGTATTTCATTTGTATTTTTAACTAACATAAGGATATCATCACCATATCTTAGGTAGATGGATGTTTTTTTTTCCTTAAATCTATAAATATCTTATTTTCGAGGTTCGACATGTAGAAATTGCTAAATGTCGGACCCAGTACTGAACCCATGGAGACACCATCACGTTGTATATATATATATTATTATTATGATCTAAGAAAGGAACTTCAGTGGTACAAGCTAATAGTAGTTTCCGTAATATATTAGGATTAATTCTAATATATATATATATATATATATATATATATATATATATATAATAGTTGCTACATTTTAAAAAGAAGAGTACTTGATATCGGAGATAGAACGGTTGTACATAAACTGGCTTAAAACTGACACCATGCAGTATTGATTCTTATGTGCATACTGTCTATATCCAAGTAATAATAATAATAATAACAGTAGCAAACAAAGTTTGTTTAAAAAAGACACCGACCTGTGTATTTCAGGCACATAGCACATTCTTTTCAATTAAATTAACAAATGTTAAGAAACCGCGCATTAATAGCAAAAATAAACTTAAATGTTTAACTTATCTTTCCGATTCGGAGTTTTGAAGATATGGTACCCGCTCATCAAAAAACTTTGATAGTAAAGCTATACTATCAAATCTCATAATGAGTGTATATCCGAATCGGCAAAAGTTGAACGTTTAATTTTATACTTTTCCGATGTCCATGCTTAGAATATTGCTGCCACATATGCTACGTTGTCCCTGCTTGAGCTCCTTGATAAAATCCAATGGTTCAACAATATTATTTGTTCTGATCTGGTGGCTTGGCTTAAGTCACTTTCCCATTGCCGCAAGATTGCCTCCCTGTACCTTTATTATAAATAATTTCATAGTAATTATTCGGATGAGTTCTTCGCTATAATATTGTAAATACTCATTGGGGTTAGTTTTTAGAATTGTTGTTTTATTCCCCTCCCCTACAGACAATGAATTGTAAATATGGAGACTAGTTAGGATTTTCATAGAGACAATGAGATATTATGGTGAATGTAGTAAGAAAGGTACGTATGAATGTGTTGTTCTGGTGTAAGGAATATTGTTTGTATGATTGGTCAGTGTTTGTGACTAGCTAAGTTATCGTTAAGACAGAAGAAGACCGTCCTTTTCCCCCAATCCCCCACTTCGGCCTTGTGCCACATTTCTGTGTAACTTACAGAATAAATATCGCTCTTCACTATAATACCTAGTGTGTTTTTTTTTTAATTTAAGCGCAGTAGTAGACCTCATCAATTTACAGTTGAGCTCGTCAGATGTAACTTTAAGTTCAATGCTAGCGGATTCTTTTCTCGCATTTCTCACTTGAGGAAACCCCTTCCGGCTCCATGCTTTCCAGCCAACTTTAATCTGCAAAAATTTAAAGGCAATGTCAATCGCTATCTTCTGTCCTCCTGATTACTTTTTCCTCTTCCCGCTCATTATTAATGCTTCTGTTTCTAATTCTTCCACAGCCTGTAACCTCTTGTCTTAGTGGTTTTACTGCCTTGCAAGGAGTGATACAGACTTTAAAAAAAAATCTACCTATATATAAGAAAATTTGGAAAAACTTTTACTTTCAAATATTTCACCAATAATCTAGCGTCATAACAAAAAAATTATTTTATTTCGCAGCAACAAAATCGACATGATTTTACTTTAATCGCATCGGTATAGAGAAAAAACGACTTGAAATTAATTTAAAAACAAACTAAATTGTTTATCGGGGCAGTTTGCGTAAAAAAAATTAAGTATTTCGTTTATAGCAAATAGAGATTGTGAAGAAAAATCGCAGTGAAACCAAAGCAAATCCCCGATGGCTTACGGCCAGATCACGTTGAAACATTGCCACCCGTACGATCACCGAATTTAGCTGCGTCAAGTATGGTCAGTACCTTTTTGGGTGACCGCTTGGAAATATCAGATGCTGTAACACCGGTTTCCGTACAATCACTAAAGCAACGTCGAACCTGGTTAGTACCTTGACGGGTGACCGCTTAGGAATATCAGATGCTTGGATGCGAGCGTGGTATAAAGGACTCGCAGACACGTCAGATTCAAACACCAGTTCTCGTACGATCACCGAAGTTAAGCAACGCCGAGCCTTATCAGTACCTTGATGGGTAACCACTTGGGAATATCATATGCTGGATGGGCGGGTGACATATCAGATCAGGTTGGATCACCGAAATTAAGCAAAGGCGAACTTGTTCAGTACTTTGAATGTCAGGTGCTTGGATGTGCGCGTGGTATAAAGAGCTTATTCCAATCATCAAACATCGATTCTCGTACAATGACTAAAGATAAGCAACGTCGAGCCTGGTCATTACCTGGACGGGTGACCGCTTAGGAATATCAGATGTTGGATGTGCGCTTGGTGTAAAGGTCTTACGGCCACATCATATTCAAACATCATCTCTCGTACGATCACCGAAGTTAAGCATCGTCGAGTCTGGTCAGTATCTTGATGGGTAACCACTTGGGAATATCTGATGCTGTAAGCTTGGATGTGCAGGTTGTATAAAAGAGCTTACAGCCACATCCGGTTGAAACATCGGTTCTCGTACAATGACTAAAGATAAGCAACGTTGAACCTGGTCATTACCTGGACGGGTGACCGCTTAGGAATATCAGATGCTTGGATGTGCGCTTGGTGTAAAGGTCTTACGGCCACATCATATTCAAATATCGGTTCCCGTACGATCGTCGAAGTTAAGCATCGTCGAGCCTGGTCAGTATCTTGATGGGTAACCACTTGGGAATATCAGATGCTGTAACCTTAGATGTGCGTGTTGTATAAGAGAGCTTGCCGTCATATCCCGTTGAAACACCATATGATCGCTAAAGTTAAGCAACGTCGTGTCTGGTAACTACCTGGATGGGTAACCGCAATAGTAATAACTCGAACATCATTTTTTTTTAACTCACTTCCTGACAAATTTCTTTCTTTCTTGCGTTTTTGTTTTTTTTTGTTTTGTTTTGTTTTTGTTTTTTTGTTTTTGTTTTTTCAGTTTGCCTTTGCTTGCGCGACAACTCATACATTCTTTTTCATTCACGCAACGAAAGTGTCCATTTTTTCTCGTTCTTCTTTCTAATGGCCGTCGTCCGTCTCTTTCAGTTTCCCTCCTCCTCCCGCGTTATCTCTATCATCTTCACATCATTTCTCATTGTGTATGGACTTCCCTTCCTTCACATTTTGCACCCCCACTTTATGCCTTCGTCTCCCCGCGATGAATCGCCCTCCAATTATAGTAATTTTTCTCTAGCTCAACCGGATACTGCTCGTTTTTAAACCGGATATGACAAGATCCCTATTTACTCCAACTTCCGCATTGAACATGTTCCTCTTTACTACTAGTCTCTAAGACCCTAATTTCGATCACGTGGCCAACAGAGCAAACTCCACTTCCGGTTTTGTTTCAGCCTCGCACTACTGGCGTTTAACTCAATGACTGTCCTTTTCTTTTCTTTTTTCCTCAGTCATAATTACAATTAAATTCTCAATCCTTAGCTAAGATAACATTTACACTTCATTTTCCAGATCGGAGATTTTACAAGTACTAAAATGTAACCTGCTACTCGACTCTAGGAGGACGCTATCACGAAGATCGTACTAGTATCAAGGGCTAGGTCAGAGAGAAAATTATCATTCGAAATCTTTCTTTTTTTTTTCACAGGGAGAATGGCTAAACAGTCAGACACACCCCAATTGTTTTAATGTGTGTAGGACAGATAAAATTTATGGACTAACGTTTCAAACTTGACTAGGAATTGGTTGAAAGTCGAACACGCCCGAAGATGTTAATGCGTTTGGGTTGCAATCAAAAGAAATTGGTACTTGACTGCAAGTATTAAAATAAAAATGGAGAGACATCAGAATTCCATATAATTATCCCTCTGTTTAAGTATATCGACTTAGACTTCAATTTTTTCTATTGATTCGTTTTTTACGGTTTATCAATCCTTTGTTATTTAAAGCCAGAAAATATTTTTGATTCTAAGATGTTTTTTAGATAATAATGCTTTAGTCATACAGGTCTTCTCCCCCATAGCTTGGGGAGAAGAGATGGATTCGTACATTTCCCAAGGGTAATTGCGTGTAAGGGAATATAACAAACCCAACTCGAACTGAACTCGGCTTGCCGATTAACAATTCCGAGCCTTTGTCTGTTATATCAACTGAAAATCCAATCTTACATTAGTGCACCTCGACGTGGTGCAATGGTTAGCATGTTTGTCTTGCTAGAACAATGACGACTTAGTAGCGAGTTCGATCCTCACTAGGTGTCCCATACTTTCAGCCTTGTGCCACATCTAAGCCAAGCTTAGAAAATCACCGTCCATGCTTACAGTTCCTGTTATTTCAAAGCGGTCACCCATTTAAATACTAACCAAGCTCGACGTTGATTAACCTCGATGATCATATGGGGGCCGGTGTTTCAATGTGATGGGGCAAAAGCGTCGATTTTGGTAAAGGTTTCTTGAGAAAAATGTCGTATCATCCAGGTCTGCCAATAGGATTTAAATGTGACCTCAAGTTGAAAACCTATGTATGATACATCGTTACATTGTTAAATATCGCGAGGAATTAAATACATACGTTACATTGTTAAATATCGCGCCTCCTTGTACCGCCCAAGAAAGTACCTGACTTCTCTTGCCAGGATCTATCAGACCAAACTGGAGTATTGCTGGTCCGGAGCTGTCTAATGCTTATTTTTCAAGCCTGACAGTGTTTGAAAGCGTATACAACGGAGGTATAAATTATTTTCAGTAGTATAAACTCTTTTCCCACAGACGAAACGCTACAAGGCTATCCCTGGCAGGCTTTGCATCCTTCGCATATTTATTGAATCCCCGTTTTGAAAGGACGACTGACATTAGCGCATCCATCTGTCCAAAGAAGTCCACTGTTGGCCAACTAATCCTTATTCGGATGGAATTTGTAATAGGTGTTAGAAGGTGCTAGAACTGTTTATTTTTTTTTGGGGGGGTACTGTCTTCAGGAGTAGATTTGCAGCAGCTTTCTGGTGCATGTATAAAATATTTTTAATCATTTTGCGCAAAGCAAGGCAATAAAGCCACTAAGCTACAGTGGGGTTACAGAGTGTGAAAAAATATAAAAAGAGAAACCTCATTAATGAGAGAGAACAATAAAAGAACAGGGATTAAGAAGACAAAAGATAACGATTGACATTGCATTTAAACTTTTGAAGATTAAACTTGACGGGAAAGCGAAAAGCCGGAAGAGAGTTCCACGAGCGAGAAGTAGTTAGCACAAAACTTAAGGTTATCTCGACCAATTTCAACAGTAAATTGATGAACCTTTGCCGCTAATCTACAGGATGTCCCTAAAGTCTGTAGACAGGAAATCTTATTAACTATATTTTTATCTCCACAGATTAAACATGGTTTTGTCGAAAGAAAAAAGAATTGATTTGTTTTTCTGGGGTATGCTAAAGAAGATGGTGTACTCAATGAAAATCACAGCTGCAACCCACTTGATTGAACAAATAAAGTGTGAATGTGCTAAAATTGAAGGCAATGTGGAGATATTGCATCGAGTTCACGTGAATATTGCAAAGTGCATCAACCTTTGAATCAAAAATGTTGAAAAATCACGTTGAAAATCTTATTTATTAATATTCCAATTCAATAAAATGTTGTTGAAAATTTCATTTCTTGAAAATATGCATTTTTACCTGTGTCCAGACTTAGAGACACCCTGTTGTACTGTGCTTAAATTCACAAAGTCAAAGTCATAGAAGGAGGCACATCAGGACAATTACCATGAAATTATTTCTAGAAAAGGCAAAGGGAATCAACATTACGGCGGTGAGAAAATGAGTTAATCCGAGATACCAGACAGAACCTATAACATTGCAGATTCTTCTTTGGCTTTTATCAAAGATATTTAATTATATAGCTGGAGAACCAGACCAAATATCGCCGGATTATTCACGATATAGACGAATGGTAAACTTATAAATATGTAAGATAGGTTCGTTCGAGAGAAACTGTCTAGCACGACACAGTGAACCAACATTCCTAGCAGCAGACTTAGCAATTGATTCAATATAATCTTTCCACTTCATATCAGTGGACAGCGTTAGCCCGAGAAGACGCAATGATACTGTTATACCAGAACATTACCTATTTTATTGTAATAGACTCTCCCACACATAATTAGTAGTAGTAGTAGTTGGGCTCAGTGGTGTTGAGTGAGTCAGTCGATGTCGGACATTGAAGTATCAACAATCACAACTAGATTGCTGCGTCATTAACTCTTATTTCAAGTTCCTAACGTTTAGGACGACTTAGTGAAATACAAGCCTCCACTGTGAAAACTACTCTACAGCAGATACCAAGGACTAATTGAAAATCGCCATCTTGAACGTGACCGCCATCTTGAATGAGAGCCACCTTATCTTGAGATAGATAACGAGGGAAGATTTTTTTTTATTTATTTTTATTTTTTTCTGAGAGTTACATGGCCCACTGGATAATGACGTTCGTTAGACCCAGTGACTGTGCCCAAAGAGTTGTATCAAGCCACGGCAGAGTTGGAGAGTTGAGCTAAAGGAAAATAAATGAAACATCCAGAAGGTGCATGACACGTGGAACTAGAACAATCTAACCCCCACCCCCGAGGTGGACGAAATAAAGAGTTCGGTTCGAAATTCCAATCACTTGAAGAAGGCAGGAGCGTACAACGACCGAAACGTTGTGAATATGGCAATGAAGATTAGGATAACTGTCCGAATAATGTAAATAACCATAATACCTCATCTCATAAAAAAATAAGAAAATGTAGAGAACCATGATCGTTTACGTCCTGAAGAGACACTCACATAGATGAAGACTTTTTTTTTTAATGAGTATCTTTAATTTTCTTTATATAATTTGCGAGGGGGAAATACGTGAGAGAGGGTTTGTTAAACTTGGGAAGGTTAGATAGAAAGAGAATTAAGAGAGAAATGGACATAGGAAGACATAGAGAGAGAGAGAGAGAGAGAGAGAGAGAGAGAGAGAGGGGGGTGCTGATAGGGAATTTCGTAGCGATAATGAAATACGTCAGTCTTCGAGAAACAGCGAAGAAAATTAGAATAAGGAATAAAAAGAAGGGAAAAGAAAAAAATAAACGAAACAGGCCATAATTTTGATTTAAAACATCTTATCAAGACATCATCTTAAAGAAACACTTCGCTGACCAGCTAATCCTTATTTTTGCAGGAAAGTCCTATAAAGTGGGGTCTTTATCGGATGACCTGTAAGATGGGAGGTAGATGGCCATAGAGGTTTTTTTTGTCGGGGCTGATTTAGAGCAGCACGTAACATTGTTACGTATCTAGCATCTAAACTATACCCTACTCCCATAACTCTGTGTTGAACATTGGCCACCCTGCTCAAAATAGGTTTTATCTATTGTTTCTTCCATCTAGTTAACTTAGCTAGGGTATGTATACTCATTGGCCTCTTTTATTACTGTCCCCATTTTTTTT